ATGTTTCTGGAGCTTGAGCGTACTTTTTTTATGGACCGAAACTTTAACTTTATAAAATTAAATATGTGGATATCAATTTAAATATGAGTTGCACTGGTATCGTTATAAAGGATTAGGATCGTCTCCATTATAAAAAAAGTGGTGAACAAACCACTACCTTATAAATAGCTCTATATTTATTTAATGGGTGGTTATGACTCATCTTAATTTGAGTGCAAATTAGATATGAATATAATTTATGAGGAGTATGATGAGTGTTAGATTTAAAATAAATCATAACCATCTACTAGATAAATCAATGAATATTAATAATGTTTTTATCTCTCGGTGTTATAGTCTTTCACTCTAACAAGCAAAAATAGTTCGCTGCCATATAAACAAACTATAAACACAGATCAAAACTGATAGGTCATCAAAATTTCTAATAATTTATTCTTCAACTCAACATGAGTGCATACATCAAAGTGACGCATTACATCATACATGACTATTTCGGCCCCATTAGTTGCATCTTCAAGATATACGTGATAATCAAGTGAAAACAGTCAATTTTCTCCACCAGCACAAACTGAAGTCAGGGAAAACTTGGATGAGAAACTTATAGAATGGTCGTTCGTGGTCGAGAGGTTCACGAACTCCATTGCTTGCTTTCTCAGTTCAATCGGGTAATCTGCAACACACCCAATTCTTGGACCTGCACCTGTACCCCATTTCACTGCTAGCTGTTGACCCAACTGATAAGAACTAGCTTCTCTTTTTGATTTGATTCTCTCAAGAATTGCTTCATGTGGCACATCAACCCTTGGGCTATGAAGTCCACCAGATAAACTCCTTTTATAGTGTTGATAATAGTGTATTGTAGTGGGTTTTAGTCCCACATTGCTTGGGAGAACAAACCTCACACTCCTCTACTTGTATAAATATATGTGCACACTCAATATTCAATTCAAGGGAAATTTACCCAAGATTCTCTCTCTCTCTCTTACTTTAACATGGTATCAGAGCTAGGGCTATTTCCCTTTCAATAAAATTTTTTAACGCTTTTGCGTTCTTTTGCCAAATCTTGGCCTTATTGCTTTGCAGCCGTTTAATGTTTTATTTTTTTTATTTTTATTTTTAATTATTTGGCGTTCATCTGCCAGATATTTTGGCCTTGTCGTTTTGCGGCTTCTTAACGCGTTTCGCGTTCTCGTTTAACCTTCGGGTTCTATTTTAAACCTTCGGGTTTCATTCTAACATTCGGGTTCTATTTTAAACCTTCGGGTTTCATTCTAACCTTCGGGTTCTATTTTAAACCTTCGGGTTTCATTCTAACCTTCGGGTTCTATTTTAACGGCATTGTCGTTTCAAGACCGTCTCTCGGTCTCAAATTAACGGCATCGTCGTTTCAAGCCGTCTCTCGGCCTCAAACGAACGACATTAGTAACAGCATCTCGACATCTTAACGTCTCAAGATTGCTGTTATGGCTCCTTCAGAGAAGATTCCCAAACCACCTTTGCCCCTCAATGATCAAAGTGACTGGGCAGGGTGGTCCACCATTGTCACCAATGCCTTGCGTGGCGCTGGTTTGCTTGATCATCTCACCAGTACGGGACCAGTTCCACCGTCCATCAGCACTGTTGCTTCATCCAGTACTATTGCCTCTGGCAGTGGTGATGTCGATCTTCAGACTGCTCGTGCTCTCTATGTCAAGGAGAGTTCAGAGTGGCAATTGCAGGAATTTCGTGTTATGGATTATCTCACTCGCTGTGTTGGCTCTGGTCTCACTGTCGAGATTGGCTCGCTTCCCTCTGCTCAGGCCATGTGGACTCGTCTCACTGAGCGTTTCACTGAGTGCTCGGGTGCACGGGAGGCATATCTTCTGCAACGCATTTCTCTACAACGCAAAGGTAGTTCATCTCTGCAGTCCCATTTTGGACAAATGCAAGCTTTTTGGACAGAGTTACGCTCCATGCTTCCTGGACGTAATTCCACATATGAAGACTGGCTAGCCTGGTACGAACGGCATGAGGTGCATCAATTGTTTCAGTCCCTTCCTGAATATTCAACTATGGCTGATCAACTACTTCACCAGCCTCAATTTCCGACTTTGGCCTCAGTTATGGGAGCTCTCACTGCTTATGAGACCCGGCAGCAGACAGCACGACTCAATTTGTCAACAGACACTCCTACCTCTTCACTCGAGACTGTTTTGTCTGTACCTGTCACTGCTCCTGTTATGAATTATACTTCTCCACAGGCTCCCTCTCCACAGGCTCGATCTAAGCTCTCTTGCAAATATTGTAAGAAGGAAGGACACCGCATTGAGACATGCTTCAAGCTTCATCCTGAGTTACGTTCCTCAGGTACTGGACGTGGTCGGCGACCCCCTCAGTCTCAACCCTCTCGTACACCAGGATTGTTGGCCAATGCTATACCTTCTACTACTTCAGACTCTACTATTCAAGCTATTGAAAGTCTTCGCCGTCAACTTGATGCTTTTCAACATATCACCTCTACATCCGCCGCACAACTCTCTGGTATGCATTTTGCTGGTTCTTCAGCTAATCCTTCAGTCTCTGGTATGAATGATCTCTGGATTTTTGACTCTGGTTGTTCCTTTCATATGACTTGTAATGCCTCACTTTTATCCTCTGTCTTTACTTCATCCTCTCTTCCTCCTATCTACACAGCTGCTGGACAACCATTGTCCATTACTCAGTATGGCTCTATTACCCCACAAAATGATCCATCTGGTCGTCTAACACTTGGTCCCGTCTATGTGGCTCCACAATTGTGCTTGAATTTAATTTCTATTAGCTCTTTATGCATGGCGGGCCTGTTTGTCTCATTTTCTTCTGATACTTGTATTGTGCAGGATCCACAGACGGGCAAGACGGTTGGGGCGGGTCGTAGGAGGCACAAACTGTATTTTCTGGAATATCTTCACCTTCCAGAGTCCATACGTCCACGTTCTCTTGTTGCTTCTCTTTGTTCGTCAAAACCCTCTACCTCGCTTCCTGCCAATTTATGGCATAGACGACTTGGTCATGTGTGTAATAAAAGGCTGGAGAGTCTTATTCAGTCTGGAGTACTTGGTCCTGTATCATCTAGTTCTAGTATTGAGTCATGTGCTGGTTGCAAATTGGCTAAATTCACTGCTTTACCATTTAAAATGAGTACATCTGTATCCACTTCCTTATTTGATTTAGTACATTCTGATATTTGGGGGCCAGCTCCTTTGCCTTCTTCATCTGGCTACTTATATTATGTTAGTTTTATCGACGATTTCTCTCGTTTTACATGGGTTTACCTACTTAAGAATCGCTCTGACGTACTTACTGCTTATCAAGCCTTCACTGCTATGATTTTCACTCAATGGCAATCTCGTATTAAAGTTTTTCGTTCTGATTGTGCCAAAGAGTACCTATCCTCTGCCATGCGCTCTATCATGTCCTCTCATGGGACTATCTTTCAACAGTCATGTCCCTACACTCATGAGCAAAATGGTGTTGCTGAACGCAAACATCGTCATATCCTCGATACTGCCCGATCAATGCTCATTTCTTACTCTGTTCCTCGTCGTTTCTGGGCTGAGGCTATTCTCACCGCGACTCATGCCATTAATATCACTCCATCTAGCTCTCTTTCCGGTGCTACTCCTTATAGTCGTGTTTATACTCATCCTCCCCGTTATGATCTAGTTCGCGTTTTTGGTTGTCGATGTTTTGTTTTTCTGCCATCTCACGAACGTGATAAATTGTCTCCCAGAGCAGTTTCTTGTGTTTATTTAGGAATTAGTTCAGAACATCGAGGTTATCGTTGTTATGATCCCGCAACTCGTCGAGTTCATATATCTCGTCATGTTCAGTTCGAAGAGGATTCTCCATATTATTCTACTTCTGATGACTTTAATTTCCTCCACTCTACCGATCATGCTTCCCCGTCCACTGCATCACCCACTTCTTCACCTCAATTTTCCTTTCGAGATCTCCCTGACATCTCTCCCTCTCCTTCTGTTGACTCTTCCTCACCTGAGTCTTCTCTTACACCATCTAATCCATATCCTGTGGACACAACTCTCACTCCAGAAAATACTGTTGATCTTCATGCACCTGCGCCAGCATCTCCCCCGCCTGAGGTTCCTCTTGCTCTTCGTCGAGGCAAACGCCCACATGTCATGCCTGCCCGGTATGCTTCTGTTACTTCTTATTCACCTATCTTTCATAACTTTCTTGCTGCCATTCATACTATTGTTGAGCCAAAGTCCTTCCAAGAGGCAGTTCAAATTCCAGAGTGGCGACAAGCTATGGCTGAGGAATTTCAAGCATTTCAGCAAACTCATACCTGGGATATTGTTCCCTGTCCTCCTGGGATCTCTCTTGTTGGCAGTAAATGGGTTTATAAGGTCAAGTTTCGTCCTGATGGCACCATTGAACGTCGAAAAGCTCGTTTAGTGGCTAGAGGTTTTACTCAGCAACAAGGTATTGATTATGAGGAGACCTTTGCTCCTGTTGCTCAGATGCCCACTGTGCGTACTCTCCTTGCGGTCGCTGCTGCTCATCGTTGGCCCTTATACCAGATGGATGTCAAAAATGCTTTTCTTCATGGCTCTTTATCAGAGACCGTATATATGCAACCGCCTCCAGGGTCAAATATTCCTCCGGGACATGTATGTCTCCTTCGTCGTGCTGTTTATGGTCTCAAACAGGCACCCCGCGCTTGGTTTGAGTGTTTTCGCGATGTTGTGCTCAAAGCGGGCTTTATAGAAAGTCATCAAGATGCTTCTCTGTTTGTTCGCACTACATCGCGTGGCAGGGTTTTATTACTCATCTATGTAGATGATATGATCATTACAGGTGATGATATGACAGGTATACAATACGCAAAATCTCAGTTGCAACAACAGTTCCACATGAAGGATCTTGGATCTCTTCGGTATTTCCTTGGTCTAGAAATTTCTCAAGGCCCGCGGGGTGTATTACTGTCTCAACAGAAGTATCTCTCAGATATTCTAAATCAAGCTGAGTTAACTGATAATACAACTGTCGATACTCCACTCCAGCAGAATGTCAAACTTTGCTCTACTGACGGTGAGCCTCTATCTGATCCTACCCGATATCGACATCTTGTTGGTCAGTTGGTCTATTTGTGCATCTCTCGACCAGATATCTCTCATGCTGTTGGTATTGTCAGTCAATTTGTTAGTGCCCCACGTTCTGTACACTATGCTGTCTTATTACGGATTCTTCGGTACCTCCGGGGTACTAGCACTCGCTCACTTTTGTTTCCTGCTACATCTAAGTTAGAGCTTTGTGCATATTCTGATGCTGATTGGGCTGGTGATCCAACTACCAGAAAGTCTACCACAGGTTATTGTATATTTCTTGGTGATTCCCTTATTTCCTGGCGAAGTAAGAAACAAGATGTTATTGCTCTTTCCAGTACTGAGGCAGAGTATCGTGCAATGTCCACAACAGCTAAAGAGATTATTCATCTTCGTCGCCTTCTCAGTGATTTCGGTATTTCTGTTACGACTCCTACTCCTCTCTACTGTGATAATAAGAGTGCCATCCAGATTGCTAATAATCCAGTATTTCATGAAAGGACCAAACATATTGAGATCGACGCTCATTTTGTCCGTCACCAAGTTATCAAGGACAAGACAATTCTACTTCCTCATGTTTCATCCGCTGACGAGCTTGCAGATTTCTTCACAAAGGCCTTACCTGTTCATCGGTTCCAGTTTCTTGTACGCAAACTCACTTTGTTTGATCCAACATGAGTTTGAAGGGGGCTGTTGATAATAGTGTATTGTAGTGGGTTTTAGTCCCACATTGCTTGGGAGAACAAACCTCACACTCCTCTACTTGTATAAATATATGTGCACACTCAATATTCAATTCAAGGGAAATTTACCCAAGATTCTCTCTCTCTCTTACTTTAACATATAGCTTCCTCCACCTCCATCTACTTTATCACTGGTAATTAATCATATATGCTTGGTCTTGTTTCGGGTCATCGTAATAGTCTCCATTAGATGAGGAACAAACCTGATGTAGGAAATTAATGAATGAAAGATATGGTGAATGTGTCCATCATGATCATTGAACCAAGGATATGCTATGAGTTTTTACCTGAACTTCATCTAGATTAACTCCGTTTTCTTGGAGCAGGGTCAAGAAATTGTTTAAGTTCTCCTCTGATGGCTTGTAATGTCCACTGTAGGCCCAGATAGACTGCCAACATGATTAAGCAAATTCTCAGGAATATCAGTCTCAATCATCTATAATGTGCATCTCAGTTAATCCTATATGATAAATTCGTGGCGACAAAGTTGCAGATCATGGTATATGTTGAAATATCAAAAAAAAAGGTGGGGGGGAATTAAAAAGATTACGTTACATGGCAGCAAAGATGCAATCAGTATCACGGTCACACTCATGAGATTGTATATTGCTGTTACCTATCGCAACCTTTCACTTCTCATAGCACACGTAACAAGTTCTAAGAATCATCCACTTAACTAAGGTAAATTTTCCTTCAACTTACTAAAATATCAATTAAAATTCGTACAGAGACTCTAAACAATTGAAATGCTTATAGAGACTAAACTAAAATTTATAGTTAACATAGACATAGAGTAGTTAGCTGTGAAAATGAAAGTGCAAACCACATAAATAGCTCAGTAAAGTGAGTTCTTCAGGAGATAGTGAGTGAATAACATAAAGAGGAATAATCAATTCAAATATGGCAGCAGTAGTAGTAACTAAAGAACAAGATATCCAATTTTAGCATAAATTACCTTGACTACTCCATTCTCTGCAGTGAATCTACCAGCTGCTAAAGTGGTTCCTCCCGCAAGGAAGCTAGAATGATGAAATATACCTTTCTTTTTCTGGAGATAAAAGAAATTAAATAAAACTTCAATTGCTGACTGGTTACCGAAGATCAAAATTTTCAGCAATGTAAACATTGATATTACTCTATGTTGCCATTACCCTGCCAGCATATATCTTCTTAGATGTGCTCATCACAAAAATCCACTTGGCCCCTTCGGATGTATTATCTGTATCAAGTAGCTCTCCAGTTTGCCTGTGCACTAATTTTCCCTCTTTAGGTATATATTCATAGTGCTCCCGCTCTTTCTGTAGACAGTGTTAGATTTGTTAAAAATCAAAATATAACAGCAGTATGATTATATAAGTAAATGAAGGATATCTGGGTGAACGTGAGTTCTTCTATAATCAAAATGCTTAATGTTTATTTTCTTATTGTTTCTTTCTTTTTTTTTCTTTTTTCTTTTCTCTTTTTTGGGAAATCGAAGCAAGTTATTTAAGGATTTTATTGTTAGATACAGAATATATATGAAGTAGAAGAGTGAAAAGGAGAAGTACAATAAGCGATGATATTTATCCACATTATTAATAAGTTTTCAGAAATGCAATGAACTTTTAAAGATAAGAAATTGTTCATATCATTAAAGATATACAAACAAACATAACATGAGATGATTGGAAAGCTGAGATGGATGTAACTACTTATCCTGAACTAGTTCAAAGTTTAAAGTTTTGAAAATAAGACTTACAGGGCCCAAATATTTAATGCATTGCTGACGAAGCAATGACCTTGGACATTCAGGAAGATCAACATTTCTTCCAGCACCAATATCCAGCCTGCAAAGCTCGTGCGGCATGCATTATATATGAAGAATTAAAAGTAAGAAATGCAGTAGGCTAATCAATGCTATTTTCTTATATGAAATTTTCCCTGTATTTGCTAGTCGTGATGCTGATATCCAAGGTTTCAAATCAAACATTGCTTCCCACACTTGGACTACAAACTAATTCTGAAGATATGAATCATAAAAGAAAAACTACACACACAGAACAGTCACAGGGGGAAAACAGATTTTTTGTTGGTTACCAGAGATTGATGCAAACTACCATGGAGCCAAGCTCCCCCATGCTTCATTAACAAGTTCTTAATGACTGCAAAGAGAAACAGAAGTACATAAAGAACAGTAGGGCACTCAGTCCTCACAGAAAAACACAATTATTTGTTGGTTATCAGAGATTGATGTAAACTACCATCCACAAAGGTTGCTCTTCGACATTACTCCATTTGGTTCTTTTCTCATTTAAGGTAAGGCATACAATTTGAACAGACATGTGCTTCTAACCATAGATAGGTGCAACACTATTTTGTGCTCTACCACTATCCACACTCAGGAAACAGAATGGCCCCTCAAAATTATACATTCATCGGTTTTACAAACTTAAACAACCAATGGAACTAATTAGTATGCTATTATCAC